ACTAAAGTTTGTTGTACTGTTAGCGGATCACTTCCGTTATTTGGTACGATTGCATTCATACCAGATGTGAACTGCACCAGAGTTCGAGCGAACCGTACTCCAGGCCACCTCTTTCAGGCAGACTTAGGTGCGCACCCGAGTTCAGAAGGCAGCATTCACACTAGCTAAACGTACCATACTCTGACGTCAAACGAACCCAGGTGTGGACCAAAAGTGCTAGTGTGAAAGCACAGGTAAGTAATAAGTAATGAGATTGATATATATTGCATTTACATACCATAATTTGCCATCTCGCTGGCTAATGGGAGAAAAAGAAAAAACATTACTGTTCTTATTTCATGTAAACAAGCATATTTGGGTAAACAATAAGTAATTGAATTACTTGACTAAATAATAAAAACACACAAAAATCTCAATGCATAGAATACAATTTAAAGGGGTGGTCCAAAGTGTCTTATTAAGGCTTGTTTGTGTTAATAAAATGCAAAGCAATGTGTGTTCATACTTCATTTGTAAACAATCACATGATTTTTTATAAATATTTTACTTTGATTATATACAGCTACTCTGTTAACATGAAAATGGCTGACATATTTCCTAGTTCCTCTAAAGGCCAACCCTCAAGAGGCTCTGATTGGTCAGCTAACATAATGTGCTGTGATTTGTTGATCGGCTCCACTTCACCAGAAAGCTACACTTCCAGTCACAACTCTACATGCATGCACTGTACCTCTGCTGTGTAAATACCCACATAGCAAAATTTCTCTGTCACAGCTGTGGCCCACACAATCAGGTTTTGCTTGGCCCACATGACGCAGTGAATTACGGTACATGACTGGACCAAGTCTGGCTTTCAGAAAACGGCCAAACATGGACCATATCTGGGTCAAGTCTTAGCCAAGGTAATAACTCATAATTGGGCCAGATACGATTGCAATGAGACTGATAAGCCATGAAGCATTGCGTTTTTAGGCACACTATGGGCATGCTTTTTCTCAAAGGGACCTGATTGATATTTTTTCTTTACTCAATTATAATTTTAATGTATTTAAATGTTGGTCAAGACAGGCCAAACTTACATGGCCCACATAACAATTATTAACAACTGTGCCAAATTCTACATTCTACATCTGGCCCAAATCTTGTGTGCTACCTTTAAAACAGTGCCACCTCTTCTTAACCCAAGCTATGTTTGGGCCACATGCTGTATGCTAGTGCCGAATGAATCCCTCCTGTGCCAGCTTTACGCCAAATCTGGGCCAGAGTTCTTTGCTACCTGGGAATGCACTGAGATATCGAATTGAACCGAATTGATGGCATGATAAACCAATCCAGGCTCATTCCGAAAACGTAGCCCCGTGGACATTTCTGGAGACCGCGATTTACGTGGCCGGAGGTACATATGGCCGCATTTCGTTTTTTTCGAGCGAACGCTGCAGGGCGGTGTGACGACGCTCCTCTTCTTCGCGCTCTCCGGCTGACGGCTCACCTCCGTGTGGAGGGCTTTCCTGCTGCAACCAGTTTGTCCGCTTAGCTCGTAGTGTTCCGTGGGCGGAGCGGAGGCCCGAAGGACGAGGAGCCGGCCGCGGCAACGATGACACGGGTTCGAGTCTGGGAAAGAGCGGTTCCAGAAATTAGGTAAGATGAAAAACAGAAGCAAAAAATAAAAGCGAACAAATTCGTGACGGGGCGTGAATGCGGCGAAACCCGAAAACGCGGTCAAAATCAGACGAGGGCTTTTGCTTTTTTTTTTTATTTCTGGATGGCTTTTGTAAATCGTCGCTTGGGACAGACGGTCGCTTGACAGCGGCCTCCGGTGGCTTTTCGTGAGAGAACGACGCGCGCTCCCGAGAGGTGTTCGTAGCCGTGGGGCTACGTTTCTACAATCAATGAGCCTGGGTTGTGATAAACGGAAACCAAACGAACCGCGAGTGAGACCAGTGTAGGTTTACACCCCTAAAATATATATATATATATATATATATATATATATATATATATATATATATATATATATATATATATAATTTCCTAATAATAAAAAAAAAAAATATATATATATATATATATATATATATATATATATATATAAACACACACACAAATTACTCTTCATTGCGGAATTTACACGGTATATTGTCATAAACTAAATTCTTAATAGAGTTTTTATTAAGCATATGCAGTTGTCTTGATAAATGTTCTGCAAAATCTACAACATGTTGATTGTTTTATATAGAACTGTTACATTTGTAAACAGTTTTAAGGTAATTACCTGTAAATAAATGACCTAAACTTAAAAAGTAATCACTTATTTAACTTTTTCAGAGGAAAGTTCACTTAATTACTGTAACAAATTACTTTGTTACTAATTACACCCAGCACTGAACTGACTTCAGATATGGTTTTCATGTACTTACCAGCCAGGGCTACCAGGAGACAGAGACACAGCCGCCACATGATGAGGTCCAGAGGTGGTATCAACAACTTGGACATGATGTTTTATAACTGGAAAGTGAATTTCCCGCCTACTCCCTTATCTAAGGCAGTTAATGAGGTAAAGTGACCCCGTGGCACCATATTTGTTTTGTATTCTTTATTCAGTGTCTATAGTTAGCTGCTGCATAATATGGACAACACATTAGTTTTTGTGTTGATGACAATATCGAAATATACAATGGAAGACATTCTTCATCACATTAGCAGAGCATACAGAAGAATATTACCTGCAGGACAATTATTCTGAAATGCTAGGAGAATGAAGCACATGATGTGTCGTATGAACAGTTTGAGTAAATAAAACTAGGGGACAAAGGTGTGAGACAGGTCAATGTGATCAGTGTCATCGCAACCTCAAAGGAGTGCAGGTGACCTGCTAAACAAATAGCAGGATTAAACTATCAAGAACAATTGATTTAATTTTTTATTCAAGCATAAATAAAACATTCAAAAAATAAAAAATAAATAAAAAATGCTGAGTTGTCATTACCCAGTGTTGGGTCAAATATGGGCAACAACATAAAAGTATAAGGCTATAATAAATTTAAAAGCATTTTTAATACAATTATTTGATTGATATGATGAAATGAGTTGAAATACAATTAATTAAATCTCTCAAGATCTTATGATTCCACATACAAAATTAGCATTCACTTGTTACTACTAATGTTTGACTGTCTACATAATTTCTAACATTGAATTAACAGAGGTTTAGATGTTATTATTGGTCCCATGAAGTGCTTTGAAATGTCTAACTTTTATTCAATGTTTGATGTGATCTCAACAAAAACATGGAGAGTGTGAGTCAGTGTAGCTCCTCCAATGGCGTCTTGTTGTATCACAGCTCTGCCAGTGAGAATGGTTGAGCTCAAGTGCATCAAAGGAAATGAAAAGCAAATGAGGTGTCTTGACGGGGGTGGGTTAGATATTAGAGGGCATTTGATTGGTCAGGATTTGATGAGAAATTCAAGTAGGTGATGTGAAAAGAATCATTATTCCATGACAAACTGCAAGCTTTGGATGTTTATATTAGTTTTAGATCATCTACAAGCAAATTTTGTCATTGTTTTAAGCACACTATCTATATCTTTAAAATTAACAATTCTCAACTATATTTATTTTTTTATTATTTCGCAGCATATTTTAATGTTTCAATCGAAGTCAGCATTACTTGGGATTTTGATCCTTGACTTTTCGCTCAGGAAGCCAGGAGTAGTTTGTACCAGAGCCAGAATAATTTGCTGTGAGAACGTATTACAGTGATATATGCACCTATAATAAGCTGACGGGACGCAAGTTGAAATCTGTGTAGCCTAAGAGCTAAAAATCTAGCTGTGACAATATTTAAACACTTTGAACTAGGGTTGGGCGATGTTGACCAATTTGGCATTGTACGATGTCTAATGTGAAACATCGTGATGTGAAAAGAGTTGGGCGACGTGTGAAGGGTGCGCGACTTATTTGAGAACTGGAAGGGAGATGCGTGATTTCTGGGAGATTATCACTCGTTTTTTATGAGTCCCGCAAATGCATAGAGAGTCCGGGAACTTCCGGTAGACTTGGGATGTCTCAACATCACATTTAACAACTGTAGGGAGACGCGACCCAGCGGTACATCCTTAAGAAACTGCCTGACGTGCACTGCTCTCTTGAGATCAGAGGAGCGCATGAAAGTGTGTGGCTGTGTCTGTGGTCACGTGATGTGCGTTTTCAGTGGATAGAGGGATGCAGAAATGCTAGGTAAAACACGGTGAGGATGTGGATCATTTTTGTTCTAAAATGCCATTTTAACACTGAGACGTATTAGTGCAAATGAGGCCTAAGTGTGTATTTATCACGAGCGGAGGATCAGCAATTCCGGCTCAGCATCGCTTTGTCTATTGGCCATTGGCGATGGCATCGTCTATTGGCCCAACCCTACTTTGAATCCTGACTTACAGTGTTCAGCAGGTGGCTCCGCAAACCAAGCTTGTGCAGCACTGATATAATGCATACAATTTGATTACATGTGTTTGAAAACGTAACATTCTGTAGTGCATTGTTAACCATTTCATGAATTCAGTCATCACACAGAAGGCATTCTAGACCAGTCTCCTTGTTGTTGCATGTAAAGATTTAACTTTTTCCTGAAGAATTTTATTGCTTACACACTGTACATGTTCGCTGCATTTATACATGGACTGTGTCTTGTGGTTGGTCCGTCTGATGGGGTTTTTTTATGCACATTTTTGATTGGATGGGAATCACGGGAATCATTATTCGACTTAGTTGACAAGAAAAAAAAAAAGCTGACTTTGATCAAAGTTCACAAGAAAAAAACGTATAAAGTAGTAACTGCAGGTTAAAGGCAAATAGTGCAGTAAAAGTAGAGATACAGCTTTAAAAGCTTGTTTTAAACCATGTAGTAAAGTACAATTGCTTAAGAAAACCCATTTACAGTAATTTAACTATATACAGCACTGAAGAAAATAGTTTCAGTTTTGTTTACTTCGTCACGTCAAAACTAATACTTCAAATGTAGACAATGATTTTATTAGAATGCAATACAGTATATATACAATCCTTTTAACCAGTAATCAGATAGAAAATATTGTTATTGTCTTGAAGCTACCGACTCCAGCAGGTTATGAAACTCATAGCATGCAGTATCACTTAGTTTTTTAATACATTTCTTTCAAAAATAAATATATTGTAACATTCATGCCAAGTACGTTTTTTTTTAATGCCTTGATCTGAAAGCATTGCGTTGTAGTTCACCTGTTCATCGCAGACACTCAAAACAACATGGCATGTTCTTGAATAATCTGTAGTACTCCTCTTGAATCTGATAAAGATGAAAACATTTGCAATTATAGGTGGAAAATGGCAATACTGAATGCGAAATAAATTAAATGTGAAACTTGCACAGGAATATGAACCTTACCCTTCTGGACAGAACGCAAAGGAATATGAAAATGAACATCCCTTGGAACACATTGGCGAAGGTGAAGAGATACGCAGTCAGGGTGGTCTCATATAAGATGTACATCACACCAAATGCCCAGGTTACTCCAAGAACAAACAGGAGAGCAATGGCTCCTCTTGCACAAGACCTGATAAAGAATTATTTAATAAATTAAAGAAATTAGAACTGTATAAAATAATAATATTACAAAAAGTATAACAAAAAAAAAAATAATATAAAGTTGTTTGTAATATTTCTGGGTTATTTATAGTTTTTGACCGGAAAAGAAAGCAACATTTTGCTTAGAACAGGAAAATTTGTGGAGATACACAATGGAGTTTAGGACCATGTTATAAATCAAACCAAGGCTCATTCTGAAAACGTACCTTTATATACATTTCTGGAGAGCACTGAATACGTCATAGGAGCTACATTTTTTTTGCAGTTTTTGTTTTGGCAAATCCGCGTCTCAATATAGTTGTTAACAACCCAAGCTCATTCTGGAAACTTAGCCCTGCGGACGTTTCTGGAGACTGCGATTTACGTGGCCGGAGGTACGTATGGTCGCGTTTTGTTTTTTTCGAGCGAATGCTATGGGGCGGTGTGACACCACTCCTCCTCTTCGCGCTCACTGGCTGACGGCGTTCTCTGGCTGACGTGGTTCATTTAAAAGTAGAGATTTCAAGCTTTATGTGGATCTATTTCTTATTTCTGTAAAGCAAGTATTCGCTGAGATTCCAGTGTGATTGTTAATCACCACACTGTCGTAAAAGCAAACTTCTGGACTGAGCTTCTCCATCAGATCACATCAATCGATGATTGGCTCCTGTACTACTAGGCGGGGCTTCATTTGCCCTATTGACTGTTACACTTGTCCCCATTCAAAACTGTATGAGAGACAAGTCTTGTGTATTCTATAGTCTTTGGTTTAACAGAGCAAGTAATTTTTCAAAGTATGTCCTATAATATTTTTCTTCTGGAGAAAGTGTTAGTTGTTTTATTTAGATTAGAATGAAAACAGTTTTTAATTTTAAAAAGTTTAAAATGTTACATTTTTAAAAAACTATTTTAAGGTCAAAATTATTAGTCCCTTAAGCAAAATATGTTTTTTTTTCTTTCTTTCTATTGTCTACAGAACAAATTGTTATACAATGATTTGCCTAATTACCCTAATTAACCTAGTTAAGCCTTTAAATGTAACTTTAAGCTTAATACTAGTATCTTGAAAAATATCTAGTAAAAAATTTACTGTCATCATGGCAAAGATAAAATAAATCAGTTATTAAAACTATTATAATTAGAAATGTATTGAACAAAATCTTCTTTCTGTTAAAAATAACAGAAATTAGGGAAAAAAAATAATAAAATTGACTTCAACTGTATAATACTGTAATAAATTTATTTTAACTGTATTGATACTGCAGTATTGTTGTGCCCATCCATAGTGAACACAGAGTCAGTACATTAGAGAGGATGATATGTGAGAGGTTTTATATGAACATGATGAATATGTTTCTTACCTGATATTTTCATAGTGACTGATTTCAGGTTTCTTTACTGCAGTGTGACGATAAACCTTATAGATGATCACAGCAAATGCCAGCAGATTAACCTGTGAGAAAATCACTTTTGATTTAATAGTTGTCCAACAAGAAAGTACAGTATTTCATTAATGTAATTAATTAAACAACAAGCCATATTTTATTCATGTGTGTGTATTTATTCATTCTGTTGCATTAAAAATGACATGGTGCTAACGATAAGTGTTGAGTTAGTGTAAATAGATTTTCTGCTGGGTATGCAGTACATCAGCCTTGAGTGTTTGTGTGTTATATGATCAGGGTTGTTGTTGAATGTTACAATGACTGTAATAAGAGCAGATGCTCACCAGGATGATCAGAATGGCTGGGCCTATGAAACTCCAGATGAAGTTATTTTCAGTGCTTAGCCAACACCTTAATAAAAGATTAATAAAACAAAATAATAATTGGCACAATGGTTAAATAATATTTTCCCACATGGCTCCAGATTTATTAAAGGGGACCTATTATGCAAATCACTTTTAAAAGCGGTTTAAAAAATTTGTGAGGTAATTTTTTTTTATAATAACACCTTATAAAAACAGTCCGCAGAAACACTTTGATTGACATTTCCCCTTTGTACGTCATCAGAGGGGGATAGTCCCATGATGACAATATCTCCCTCATTACCATTGAATGTTAGTCTTGTTTTTAAATCTGCCACTATGCTGACACATGGACATTTTAGCCCTGCCCTCTTTTGAAAAGAGCAGAATCTCACTTGAATTTAAAGTGACAGTTACCAAAATGGTACAATTGTGAACAAAGCCAAAAAGGGGCAGTTTCGAAGAGTTGTAAAACATTATTTGTGGGGTATTTTGAGCGGGAACTTCAAATACACACTCTAGGGCAGGGGTGGGCAAACTTGGTCCTGGAGGGTCGGTGTCCTGCATAGTTTAGCTCCAACACTAATCAAACACACCTGAACATGCTAATCAGTGTCTTCAAGAGCACTAAAAATCTATAAAAAGGTGTGTTTGATTAGAGTTGGAGCTAAACTCTGCAAGACACCGACCCTCCAGGACTGAGTTTGCCCACCCCTGCTCTAGGGACATCAGAGCCTTAGGCCCAATACCAATTCTATTTTTGTACCCCTACCCCTTCCCCTTCCCCTTGGCCCTTACAACCAAGGGTTAAGGCGAAGAGCTTCAAAATACCCCTAAGAATTGGGACAGCACTGCAGCACCATGACACGTCATCATATGTCATCGCCATCTCTTGCTTAATATGAGATCAGACGATCGTAACTGCTGTAGTTATTCCAGTTGTGCTATTTTTAGCTTAATTTTTATCTTCAGGAAAAGCGTATAAAGGCGTATATTATGTTATCATCGCAATCTAATGTGGCAATAATTGTTAAAATGCATTTAACACAGTGGCCATATTCATCTATGTAAACACACCAAAAACAGCATTAACATTATAGCAGACACTGTAAAAAGCCCATTGACAGCCACTAGACTTTTCTGACATGGTATTCCAGTGCCATCGAGTGTCAGAATGTTGTGGGACTGCTGTACAGAAGTTAATATTAGGGATTATAGATCACAAAACTTTGCGGTTTTTATTTTTAGCGTTTTTTTTTTTTTTAAAGCATGATGGTAAAACATGAACCAGTTATGAATATATTAAAACATGTGTTTGTTTGTTGTAAAAATTCGTAATAATGACAAAAATAGGCAAGGCAGTGGCGCAGTAGGTAGTGCTGTCGCCTCACAGCAAGAAGGTCGCCGGGTCTCTGGTTCGAACCTCGGCTCAGTTGGCGTTTCTGTGTGGAGTGTGCATGTTCTCCCTGCCTTCGCGTGGGTTTCCTCCGGGTGCTCCGGTTTCCCCCACAGTCCAAAGACATGTGGTACAGGTGAATCGGGTAGGCTAAATTGTCCGTAGTGTATGAGTATGAGTGTGTGGATGTTTCCCAGAGATGGCTTGCGGCTGGAAGGGCATTCGCTGTGTAAAAACTTGCTGGATAAGTTGGCGGTTCATTCCACTGTGGCGACCCCGGATTAATAAAGGGACTAAGCCGACAAGAAAATGAATGAATGAATGACAAAAATTCTAATTAGTTGATCTCCTTACTTCTGGGTGCAGGTGGAGCTAGTGTATTCTGGGAAATTTTTCTTACCCCTTGGTTTCGAGTGAGGGACACATATTCCCATTGAGCCTTTGTTCTTGTAATATTTTAAAATAGGTACTAAATAATATGTATAGTTTAGCTTTAAGGCAGTGGTCCCCAACTTTTTTTATCAACGCAGACTGATCAACCCTTGACAATTTTATCGTGGACTGGCAGGGTGGTTTGTAGGTTGCTATGCGACTATCAACCATTTTCTCAGAGGATCACAAGCTAACAAAACATTGCTGGAACTCTGATACAAGTTTTGTTTATGGAGGAAATTACAAAGCACTGCAGTATTTGGGTGTTCTGTGTTTGTCTGAGATAATTAGTCAACCAAAATGTGTATAGTATATTCTATACAAGCTGAAATTGATCGGTCAGTTTTTGTCACGTGACTCGCAGTGCGCTCCTGGCATTCATTTAACTGTGTGTGTCTGGAACATCATGCCGTTTGCACATGCAAGCCGCACTCCTCTATTGGAAATAACGAACTTGCACAAACTCTAGAAATGACGCGGTATGCGAACGGCCCCAAAAAGGCTGCTGTCATTAGTGATCGCCAGCAGTTGATCTTTTTTGCACAGACATGGTGGATTCACCAGAGTTGTTGACAAATGGGTTGGGTATCTATTCCAAGGCAGTTTGCAGGTCCTCGACTGAGCCTTTTTCCCTTAGCAAAGAAACTTTCCAAGACGTCTGTTTCTTACTCATTTTGCTGCTTGTAGGTTAAATTTGGGCGCTCATAAGACTGAGATGTGAGAGAATACAGTAATTTTTCAAAATAAAAGATTTTTTAAAAATAAGACATAGTTCAGACTCAAATAATAAATAAAATAGAAATAATTAATGATTTCTTGTGCGGTCCGATACCAATTGATTCACGAACCGGCACCGGTCCGCGGCCCGGTAGTTGAAGACCACTGCCTTTAAGGTATCAATTTGGACACTCTAGACAGAAAAATGTGTACCTTGCCCACGTTTTATAGGCAACATCAATCCAGATACTTCTCGCTTGCAGTTTATTTTAGTTCAGGACTTCATAGTTCAAGTATTTCAGAAAGACATTTTTCTAGATTAAGGCCTCCTTGTGGTTTAATTTAAACTCTGTCTGGGTAACCATAGCTATACTGTAGGTATATGTATATTAATCACAACTTGCAGTAAAGGATACAAACGTGTGTTTATAATTCATAAAATACTACATTACATACTACAAGCCAATCATTTTAATATCCCACTAAAATAGAGCTCATATTAATTGAGATTCTTTCTTTAGCAAATACCAATCAGTTAAAATACTTATAACTTACACAGAACTGGTCCCATAATATTTATAACCAAGAGTTGCAGATATTGCGACAACCACAGCAGGGCTCCCATAACCAAATGCGTAGAAGTTCCGGTGCAGGAAACCTTTGTTATAGATGACGCCAACAACAATGAGATATAAATGGATCCCTTCTATGCACATCCAAGCAAATGCAGCCAAGAAGAAGTAGTGCAGCAGGCCAGCGATCAGAGAACAGAACCACTGAAACACACAAGGAGCAAATATCACTGAACATAATATTGCAAAGCATGTTAATAAATACAGGCACTAAACTTCGGGTTTTCATCTGCATTTTAATAAATAGTGAGAGTACCTTGTGTGCACTTTTGTTAATCCCAATGAGAAAGATGAACTGGGCCATGAAGAGGCTGCAGCACAGGTTCTTGTGGATCGTGGTTCTGGTGTTCTGGATGTCTCGGAAGAACCAGAAGGTGAAAATACACATGGACAGGCAGATGAGAGAGATCACCATTCCCAGCTGTGTTATCCTCGTCAGAACATTATAGTGTGCAAGCAGCTACAAAAAAAATAAAAAATAAAATTATAATTTATAAATAAATAAATAGTTTGAGCCAAATTCTGCATTACTTCGACATATTGATGCAAATGTGACAGGGTGGCTGCTTACACAGTATTGTTAAAGGTATAGTTCACCCAAAACTTACATTTCAATTGCTTAGAAGTGTTAAGTTAAGAGTTAAGTTTCTTTCTTCTGTTGATCATAAAAGCAGATACTACACAAAACATGATATTTTGAAGAAAGCCGAAAACCTGTAATCATTGACTTCCATAGTAGAAAAAGCAAATAAAAAAATGAGTAAATAGTGAGCAAAATTACATTTTAGGGTGAACTATCCCTTTAAGTTGTTCTGTGGGGTTTTAATCTAGTTTAGATTTTAATATATAGTCACTGTTTACATATACATACTTATTTTATATTACTTAAACAAAAATAGTTAGTAATATATAGTTAGTAATATATATATATATATATATATATATATATATATATATATATATATATATATATATATATATATATATATATATATATTACATTTTTGTAAAAATTTAGTTATTGATATATTCTTATTAACTGACAACTTATTTATATTATGGCATGTTTTTTTATAAGTTGTTTACATTTTAAAACCTTTTATTTAAAAACAAAAAACAAATGTTACACACATACTGTTTGCTATGAAATGCAGAAACTTTAAAGCTCAATATTTATAAATCATTCAGAACGCAGACAGAACCTTATAATTCCAAGGTGACGATATTGCAGTGCAAATTATTAGGTTGTAACAACAGAACTCTTTGTATTTGCCCTTAACTGACATAATCCTGGAATTTGTAGAACAAGTTTAAGTGCATTACATTCATAGTAGACAAATGGGGCTATAGTGAATCAAAATTTGAGAGATCTAGGTAGAACAACCACAAGGTTAACCCTGATGTGCTGTTGGGGATGTTTTTATACAATAATTTTGTGATTTTGTGCCTTAATTTGGCCATGACCTTTTCTGTGATTCAGCTTATTTGACACATATTTGGAGAAAATGCTTTGAATAAAAAAAAAAAAAATTAACAATACACTCTGGGCAAATTTACTACCCTTTTGTTATGTCCAGGATGAAAACGTCCAGTAAATAAACTGCTGTAAAAATGCACCAGATTAATATTTTTGCTGTTAATCAACCTCAGTCCTGACCAAAACTACTAAATTGTTTAGTAAATACTGGATTTTAACTCTTTAATTGAAAAATTCATAAATGTTGTCACTGATTTGGTGATTTTTTTTAACCTTTTATCACAGTCTTGGACATGTTTGATGCATTGTTTTTCTCTCTAATTTACTGTTGGTGGTTGTATTTGCCCCATTGACTCTCATTATAACCACATTTTTTGATTACAAAACTATAACACCATATAATCGTGCAGTTTTGCCTTTCCCTCAGTTAAAATTTGTCATTTTTACTGGTGGTCATAAGTAGGGCCGGAGTGGGACTCCTTTTCAGCCCTGGAGTTTCAAGCCTTAGAACAGCCCACCTCAGTTCACGACTGACTGTATTAAAATAACGTAATTTCCAATTCAGTTTCTAATGACGCTATCACGTCTTTTTCAAGGAAACAACTGCTTTAGAACTTCAAATATTTTTCATAAATATGAGAACATTAAAGGGTGGCTAAATCTCCAACACTATTCTTTAAAACATCACAATGTCCTTTCCTGCCATATCTGAATATTATATTATGTGCAAAATTCTTTTTAGATATCCAGTCCTTTGTAACAGTGATCACACAAAAAACAAAAATTAAATATGTACACCTATATAAATAACCCAAACAGTATTATGTCTTAACACTAAAAAAAAAAAATAATAATAATTACTCAGGTTAGGTTCGAACCTCATAACACAACGTGCTGACCAATGGACCATAATGGCGCTGTTATGCTGGTGTGTTTGGAATATAAAATAAGTATTGCACTGTTACCTGCAAGTCTCTTTTAACCACAGTATTACCTTCTATTGATGGCTTAATCTTTTTCTCCCCTTTTTAGATTTCTGATCTTTATGTCAGATTTATTAATGTAGTGAATCATCTCAGTGTAATGTTCATTAATATTAATTATTCAAATTCTTATAATCACCAAGGTCCCACTGTTTGGGATCGAATGATAGTTACATATTAATGCATTTTGCTCACGGGGCTGCGAGAAAATAAATAAAAAGAGTGGAGCTGCGGGACAAAAATGAATAAAAAGAGTGAGGCTGTGGTCAAATAAATAATTAAATGAAAAAAAGTGCGACTGCTGAGAGTGCAAGCAGCTAGGGACACCGGCCCTCGCCGCCAAAAAACGGACCGGCCCACTAAGGATTCTCCTGGTCCTTCTGATTAGCCAATCCGGGCCTGGTCATAAGTTGGCACCATTAACCCTTTAGATAGGCCTGTGCAAAAAAAAAAGCTTAGTTTCTTTATTCTATATGTATTATAACAGCAAATTGAAGTGTGTGTACAGTATGTGTGTCCAAAAGTGTGAGAGTGACCTTTACGCATGTACCTTGATGTGTCTGAGAAAATCAAAATATGCATCTCGCTCTCAGAACTACGGAGTAAATAAAACAAAGATTCTGTATTTATGCACCATCAAATGTGGTGTCTGATGCTTTTTACAGCAGTTTAATTTAGTCTAAAATTTGCTAATGCTAGGAGTTACGGATAAGCAATTAAATATGTGAGTCATTATGCAGTAAAATTATAAAAATTAATTAACAATGGTACTGTATTTTGTTAAATAAAAACTATAAATAATAATAAAGATTAAAGTAATGTACATTTAGTTTATTGAATATCACATGTAAATGTACATATTTTTTTTTTTAATAAAATTTGTATATGTATTATTTTAAAAGTTGTTCTATTACCCTCTTTGTTTATTTCGAGGTAATTATTTATGATTATATTATTTTTATTGCGGTTTTAATTTTTTATGTGTCAGAGTTGTAATTTATGTCAGATTCATAATTGGTATGTATGGCCACAAAGAGACATGGACAAGACTTTGATAAAAGGAAAAACAAATCCAGTCCACAATTACTTTTACTTTAAAAATGTCATTTTGTGTGATTTTTTTTTTTTTTTTTTACCAAAGCAGTGACAGCATTTATTAATCAGGACTGAGGTTAATTAACAGATTTATGCAAAAATTTTCTTAAAAAAAGTATTTATCTGATGCTTTCTTACAGCAGTTTAATTTAGTCTATGTTTTCATCCGGAACATAACAAAAGGTAGTCTCTGTCTCCCCTGTGACAACTTTTGAAAAGCTACAGTCCCGGTGACAGCTTTTGTACATTTATTTCTGTGAGTGTACTGTGCTTGGAGACCAGTAGGGAGCAGCAGTAGACCAGACTTACATTAGCGCGAGCGGAGGACATGAGAATAGCGAAGTGTGTCAGGTGATTACAAGAACATGAAGTGTGTGTGGTGTTCACACGAGTGCGTATACAGCCATCTAAACTCCAGTGTCCCATCATGCTTGGTGAATATTCCCAGAATGCACACTTAGTCTCATCACGGGCTGGATCTATCTCCTTTATGAAAAATAAAAAAGGGAACCTCTTGTTAAAAAAGGACATTTGTCAACCACAACTATTTTAAATGAATTGGTGAGTGATCAACAAGTCAAACTGCACCTGTGTGTGTTTCAGAGTGAAGGTCACATCGTTCAGTGGAAGCGTCTTCTGGTTACTGATGGCTGCTGCTATTACAGGTGAATTAACTGTGATTTCACCCGCTGCTGCATAGCGAGAGTAATCGGCCACTCCAGGGTCATCGGCAGGCTTTAAAAGATCCCCGATGCTGTGATAGATGAGGAATACAACGGATGTACTGCCTAAGATTAAAACAACAGAACGATAAAGATTTGAATCCTTTAGTGTATTTGCTTTGAGTTTAGTTAGAGAAATGCTTTTACGAACCATTGTTGTTTGCATGTCTTGCTTTCTTGGTGCTTAGTGAAATGGAGTTTCCTTGGATGTTGGCTGACAGTGGATGCTTCTGTGCTTGGCGGGGTTCAAATGTGTATAATTTCATTTCTGGAAAGCATTCAACACAACGATTAGCAAAATCAGGTTACAAAATTATCTAATGCGGTATGGATAAATCATTGAATATTCATTCTTTCATTCATTTTCTTGTCGGCTTAGTCCCTTTATTAAACCGGGGTCGCCACAGCGGAATGAACCGCTAACTTATCCAACAAGTTTTTTTATGCAGCGGATGCCCTTCCAGCCGCAACCCATCTCTGGGAAACATCCACACACATATTCACACACACACTCATACACTACGGACAATTTAGCCTACCCAATTCACCTGTACTGCATGTCTTTGGACTGTGGGGGAAACCGGAGTACCCGGAGGAAACCTACGCAAACGCAGGGGGAAACATGCAAACTCCACACAGAAACGCCAACTGAGCTGAGGCTCGAACCAGCGACCTTCTTGCTGTGAGGCAACAGCACTACCTACTGCGCCACTGCTACGCCCAAATATATGATTCATTGTGCAGTGAATTCTGGGAAATGATACAAATGAATCAAAGTAGTCCCAAGTGAAAAAAACAGCTTAAACCAGCCTAGGCTGGTTGGCTGGTTTTAGCTGGTAGACCAGGCTGGTTTTAGAGAGGTTTTGGCCATTTGCCCTTAGGCCTAGCCAGGCTGGGAGCCCAGCCAAAACCAGCTATATCCAGCTTAAACCAGGCTGGTCAAGCTGGTTTTAGCTAGATTTAGCTGGTCATTTTCCAGCTTGACCAGCTAAAACCAGGCCGGAAATGGCCAAAACCCCTCTAAAACCAGCCTGGTCGACCAGCTACAACCAGCCAACCAGCCTAGGCTGGTTTAAACTGGATTTTTCAGCAGGGGTGCTTTATGTAAACAAAGACAATACATAATAAAAATGAAAGTAGTGTACGTTTAGTTTATTGAATATCACATGTATTTACATGTATTTTAATGTAATCTTATTTATTTAATTTTATTTCTATTATTTAAAAAGTTTTTTTTTTATTACTCTCAATATTTATTTAGAGGTAATTTATTGTGATTATTTATTTCACTGGGGTTTTATTTTTTTTTACATTTTTTATGTGTCATAGAGTAGTAATTTATGTCAGGTTTATAATTGGTCTGTATGGCCACAAAAAGACATGGATCTACAGTACACAGTGGTGTAAAAAAGTGTTAGTCCCCCTTTCTGATTTCTTATTTTTTTTATGTTGGTCACACTTTTGTTTAATATCATCAAACAAATTTAAATATTAACGATAACACAATTAAAGAGCCCATATTATGGGCTTTTGAAAATGACCTTCCATGAAAATGACCTTCCATATCCAGCTAAGGCTTAAATCTGAAAGTGCGCTGTGTTTACAACTATTGATTTTCCTATAAAAGAGTCGACTCAGAGTGGTTTAAATGAATCATTGGGGTAACAAATTTTTAGTCGTGACGTCGATACGCAACTCAAGCCCCACCCATTTGTTGTGCGCACAGACAAAGGAAAATTTAAACCCCCGACCCTATCCACAAACACTGTAGAAAAACAAAACAAAAGAAAGACAAACACTAGCAGATGCCATTTGAATCATGTCGCAAAGACGCTGCGCTCTGAAGTGTAAGGGAAAGTTAGTGCTGTTTTCCCCAACCAAAGATGAGGCTGTGAAGAGTCAGTGGTTGAAGTTTATTTTTGCAAAAATACCTCAGCATTATAGCCCCAGCCTTGTGCTGTGTTCCTGTAATTTTTCTGACGAGTGCTTTAACAATCTACACACTTACAACGGGCGATTCGTTGGCCGTTTGTTTAAATGAAGGATCAGAAAATACTATTGATGTATGGGACTTTGTCAGAGCTTGATAGGAACTTTACAGTACACAGTTCATGGATCAGTGTCTTCCTATATTTCACAAGTGTAAGTAAGTGCTATTAAAATGATTGCCTCCTTGTTTTCTCTAGCTTGCAAAATGTGTATATATAATTTACAACTTGAGTTAATGAAATGTGGAGTTTTATATTTCAGGCTCCCAAAAATCTCACCTACATCACCGGCATGCACCTGCATCTGAGTAGCATGTGTGTATCCAGCAGACAGGGCCAGTGTTTCCTTCTCTGCTGTGTGAAGGAGTTTGGTGACATAATACATCCTCAAATCTTCATTGATCTTCTTCCATTCCACCTTTTCATCCTTCTCGACTAAGTTATTTACACTAAAAACCAAATTCTACAAGACAAATCATAAAACAAGCATTCATTTTCAGTTAAAATAACAAACAAAAAAAAACAAATGACAAAATAAAAATACAGACTAAGTGTCAATAATGTAAGTAATAGCATTAATAATAAAACTACATGCTTATATTTAAATCTTTGTATACAAATATATTTAAAAATGTATTTCATGGTCAAGAAAATACAGTTATAACCTACAGTACATTGTGAGTTTTCATTTTTTAAATAAATAAATAAATAAATAAATAAATAAAGTACTCAGCATAAATCAATACACCCTATTTTGAAAATTAACATTTTATCCATTACTCAGTGAATATAGGTCTTATATTTTGTTGTGATGGTTATGTCTTCTACTTTAAAATGTTGGGGTAAAAGGTTTAAGCTTTAATAAGTAAATAATAAAAATGTTTCTTTATGTTTTAATTATGGAATGACATGTATTACCGTGATGGTTTCATTGACGTGTTCCTTTGAATCTTTAGACACATCTCCAGAATTTAATTTACTGCTGACCATGGCCTCAATGTATGATATGAGAAGAACAGGAGAGAGTGCAGCTGATGTTTGATATCTTATCTCTTTCAGACGCTCTGAAATGGACAGATTGGTCATCTAAAGCCAGGAGAGAAAAATAGCTTTAATACTCACCCAAAGAAAGGTATATGATACAAGTACCAGCATTTACTGTGCAAGTTTACATACAGAGACAAAACAGACATTTTTATCATGCTCATTTATAGGCCTTTATCAGGAAACACATTAATTATTTGCATATATCACCTAAAATGTTAGCAAATGGAGTTGCTTATGACCCATTTTAAATGTTTTAAGTCTCAGACGTCCCTAGTGTGTCTGTAAAGTTTACGCTCAAAACATGTGACAGATTATTATTATTATTACATATTATATTTTGGATATTATATCTTAATTATTACTCATTAGATCACTGTATATGCATTTGTTTGTAAAAGTTGAAGCAAAAATGTACTGATTTTATGTATGTGTCTTTAGTTGCAAATAAGCTGCTACTCCCGCCTCTTTCCAAATGAAGGCCCACCCTTTACAAATTGAACCTGTGCGTAAACTATTAAATACATACAAGATTACATCACAAACACAAACAGTTCCAGACATCCCAAGTCGCCCTAAATAGAGATTCCCGAATGTCTGCATATGAATGATAATCTCCTGAAAATCGCGCGTCTCCCCGGTCCTTAAATACGTCACGCAAAGAACCTCCTTACCACCACCCCCACTTTAGATACGTCTCACGCAATCCGATTTTCAGATAGGTCGCGCACAAACCCGCTCTTCAAATATGTCGCACAGCAACCACCACAACCTTTCCCCCCTCAAACTCCCGCAACCTCATGCAAATCATCTATATTTATTAATTTTGTTATTGGCTTAGTCCCTTTATTAATCCAGGGTCGCCACAGTGGAATGAAATGCCAACTTATCCAGCACGTTTTTACACAGCGGATGCCCTTCCAGCCGCAACCCATCTCTGGGAAACATCCACAAACACACACACACACACACACACATTATGGACAATTTAGCCTATACGCAATTCACCTGTACCGCGGATGTCTTTAGACTGTGGGGGAAACCAGAGCACCCAGAGGAAACCCACGTGAATGCAGGGAGAATATGCAAACTCCACACAGAAACGCCAACTGAGCCGAGGTTCGAGCCACAGCCCAGCAACCTACTTGCTGTGAGGCGACAGCACTACATACTGCGCCACTGCATCGCCCAAATCATCTATATCTCACCCGGAAATTACTATTCCAAAGTTTGGATGTGAATAGCTGGGGAAGATCTGTGAAAGTTTAAGTCAGGTCTGGGTTTTTAAAATGTTGGCAGCATTACATACAATATTCTTAGCTGTTTGTGGCGTTAAAGGGTTATTCATTTCCAGAACTAAAATTTCCTGATAATGCAGTCGTCCAAGATGTTCTTTCTTTTTTCAGTCAAAAATAACTAGCATAATCTAATTTTCGAGGTTCACATAATCTTGGATTCAGTCTGTTGACAGAGCAGTTTTCTTACACAAAGGACAAACTGTACTGAACAGGGCCTGCTTCTACTGTTACTCATGTAGATCATTAAAAAACTATGCTCTTACATCATCTGTGTCCTGTCCAAATTACTACTGTCCCATACCAATAACTCCAATCATATTGAAGTTCTTTGTGAGGTTAGTCATGCACAATATCAGGACAAGCCTCCCCAACACACTTGAACTATGGACAATGCAACTTCCTCCACCCTCCACCTGGCTCTTACCCAACTAGAAAATTATGACTCTTATGTTAGAATGCAGGCGACAAAGTGGCTCAGTGGTTAGCACTGTCACCTCACAGCAAAAAAGGTCGCTGGTTCGAGCCCAGGCTGGGCCAGTTGGCATTTCAGTATGGAGTTTGTATGTTCTAGCCATGTTTGTGTGGGTTTCCTCTGGGTGCTCCAGTTGCCCGCACAAGTCCAATAAAACGACATAAACCCCTTAAAAGTGCATTATGTGACACAGCAGTGGCAGTTTTTGCGAACCTTTAGGAAATTAAGTGCAAAGGTGGTTGGATAAGCTCTCAACCAATCAGATTCAAGAACCAGAAGGAACGGTTTTAAAAATCATCATTCGTATGAGCACATCTTTAAATAATGATTAATATTAAGCAAATGCACAAGAAGGGGATGATGCATTAAATATATTGCTTAAAAAATTAAATAATAAAAATGCTAATATAAAACAAATAAAGTTTTATACAGTGGGTGTGGAAAGTATTCAGACCCCTTTTAATTTTTCACAAAAGTATTTTTTTTCCTCATTAATGTACACACATTATGCCATACTGACAGAAAAACACAGAATTGTTGACAATTTTGCAAATTTATAAAAAAAATTAAAACTGAAATATCACGTTTTTAAGTATTCAGACCATTTGCTGTGACACTAATTTATTTAACTCAGGTGCTGTTAATTTCCTCTGATCATTCTTGAAATGGTTCCACACCTTCATCTGAGTTCAGCTGCATTAGATTATATGGATTGGACTTAATTAGGAAAGCCACACACCTCTCTAAATAAGAGATAGCTCACAATGCATGTCAGAGCAACTAAGAATTATGAGGTCAAAGGAACTGCCTGAAGAGCTCAGAGACAGAATACCGGCAAGGTTACAAAAACATTCCTGCTGATATTAGGGTTACTGAGAGCACAGTGGCCTTCATAATCCTTAAATGGAAGATGTTTGGGATGACCAGAACCCATCCTAGAGCTGGCCATCCGGCCAAACTGAGCTATCGGGGGAGAAGAGCTTTGGTTAGAGAGGTAAAGAAGAACCAAAGATCAGTGTGGCTGAGCTCCAGAGATGCAGTAGGGAGATGGGAAAAAGTTGTAGAAAGTCAACCATCACTGCAGCCCTCCACTAGTCAGGGCTTTATGACTTTATGAAGCCTCTCTTCAGTGCAAGACACAGAAAAGCCAATGGAGTTTGCCAAAATGGTGAGAAATAGGATTCTCTGGTCTGATAAGACTAAGATAGATCTTTTTGGCCTTAATTCTAAGCGATGGCTGTGGAGAAAGCCAGGTACTGCCCATCACCTGTCAAATACAGCCCCAACAGTGAAGCATGATGTTGGCAGCATCATGCTGTGGGGGTGTTCTTTAGCTGCAGGGACCAGACGACTGGTTACAATCAAGGGAATGATGAATGCAGCCAAGTACAGGGATATCCCGGATGAAAAACTTCTTTAGAGTGCTCAGGACCTGAGACTGGGCCGAAGGTTTACCTTTTTAACAAGACAATGACCCTAAGCACACAACTAAAATAATGAAGGAGTGGCTTCAAAACAACTCTGTGACTGTTTTTGAATGGCCCAGCCAGAGCCCTGACTTAAACCCAATTGAGCATCTCTGGAGAGACCTAAAAATAGCTGTCCACCAACGTTGACCATCCAACCTGGCAGAACTGGAGAGGATCTGCAAGTAGGAATGGCAGAGGATCCCCAAATCAAGGTGTGAAAATTTTGTTGCCCCTTTCCCAAAAAGACTCACAGCTGTGTTAGATCAAAAGGGTGCTTCTACTAAGTACTAAGCGAAGAGTCCAAATACTTGGGACCATGTGGTATGTCAGTTTGTCTTTTTTTAATAATCTGCAAAAATGCCAACAATTTTGTGTTTTTCTGTCAATATAGGGTGCTGTGTGTACATTAATAAGGATAAAAATGAACTTAAATGATTTTAGCAAATGGCTGCAATAATTTAACAGAGTTAAAATGTCATGAAGATCTGAATACTTTCCGTACCCACTGTATATGTATGTATTTATATGTGATTGTTCTTGTGCACCCTCTCACACCATTCCTGAAATATTGATGACACTACCTAAAACACTCTGTTCATCTTGATTGTTATATGACAAAAGTCATGGAAAAACCTTCAGAGCAGCTGCTTCCTGAGTTAGAGCTGTTCTCAGCAAGGTGAGAGGAAAAACATCTAAGAGAGACGTGACTTAATTTTAGTCACAAGATATCCAGTTATTGCAGAGTGTGCAAGCAGTTGACCTATTCCACACATAAGACCTTTAAAACATGAACAATGTTTTGTCTTGCAGTCAGGCAGAGTGCTAAAAGCAACAAGGGTAAGTTTATAATTTTTCATATCATTACTCTTATACACATGATGATCAAATTCTTACACCTTATTATGATAGTCCGTCTTATACATTTTTTGTATTATTTTAACTGTCAACAATTTTAACTGTTTTCTTTGAGTTTTAGTGTTAGTATCAGCAATCATTTAGAATAAGCAGATGTGTAATTGCCTTATTAATTCAAAGTCTGCTATCTTTTTAGCCAAATAAGGACCAATCACTTGTTACTTATAACAGCTAATGGGGCTCAATAAGATATTAATACTGTTATTTAAATAATATAATATAATATAATATTTAAAAATCATAATATAGTAATAATAATATTGTATGTACATGTGTGTCAAAACACACACACACACACACACACACACACACATACAACAATTTGAATAAATGTTGGTATTATTATTACACCTAATTCTTTTAAGAACTTTTATTTAATTTAAAAGTTTATTTGTATAGCGCTTTTCAGAATAATTAGCATTCCAAAGCAGCTTTACAAAATGTGCACATTATTACAATACAGTCAGAATCAAAAGAGTTAAGTGTGTATAATACATTTTCAATTAAGTGTTCTGATCATTATGTTAAGTTTATTATATTAAGAACAATTTATGTATTGCGTACTATTGTGTCTTTATTGAAAAGGTCTTTATGAAAACCAAAACCTTTATATATATATGTGTGTGTATATATATATATATATATATATATATATATATATATAAATGAAGAATAAAGGCAGAATTATTAGCCCCCCTTTTAAGTTTTTTTTTTTGCTTTTTAAATATTGCCCAAATGGTGTTCAACAGAGCAATGAAATTTTCACAGTCTGATAATATTTTTTCTTCTGGAGGAAGTCTGATTTGTTTTATTTCTGCTAAAATAAAAGCAGTTTAAAAAAAAATTTTAGGTCAAAATTATTAGCTCCTTTAAGCAATTTTTTTTCGATAGTCTACGGAACAAACTATTGTTATACAATAACTTCCCTAAATACCCTAACCTGCTTAGTTAACCAAATTAACCTAGTTAAGCCATTTGTGAAAATGTCCTTTTTCTGTTAAACATAATTTTAGGAAATATTTGAATAAGTAAAAAAAATTGAAAGGGAGCTAATAATTCTGAGTTCAACTATATTTATATATATATAACACACAAATACAGGGCTTTACATTAACACCCACCAAATGACACCTCCACTAGCCACTTTGGCTGGTTGGAAATCATTTATAAATTGTAGTTTTCTTAAAAGCAGGGTTCGACAAAAAGCATGGCCCAATATTCGTGCAAATCTGATCTTAGAATGGAGAAGCAGCACGACTGACAAAAATTTATTTGTTTGCGCGAGCAAAACAGCAAAAGAAAGGTAAATACCGAAGGAGAGGATGATCACTCGCGTGCACAGGTGATGTGATGCGCGCGACTGTTAAAAAGCGTGAATCCCGTGCCTAGAGGTAGCACAACTGGTTCGATCTGTTCCCTTTGAAATAGACTGGACAAAGAGCAATAATTGTGCACCCACAGTCCTGCTGCTTTCAAGAGCTCAAGATAAATAAAAAAAAACACATATTCCCTTGTAAGCAGCAGAGGTCACTGCTTTCATTTTAATTATTCTTTGAACAGATTAACAGGCATATATTAAACGTGTACATGTGATCATCCTTTCATCATCACACACGGTATGTTTCACCTGCTTTCTTTTGCTTAGTTATTTTTGTTAATATGGTTTAATTACATTTTTTACAATAACATTACTTTAATGGGAGATTACTCCCCGTTTATCTGTAGTTAACTGCTGATCTGGGACTTTTAGCCAGGACAGATTACTGTACATATTTTAGATACATGACAATACTTCTTTTTTTAAATTTTATGGGGTTTTTTTAAGAAAGGTTTTGGTAAATTAAAAAGTTCTCCCATAAAGCTTTATTTTCTTTGTTTTGACACATTAAAACATTGTGGCTAAGAAATACTTATTTGGTGTGGTCAGAGATAAATTTGGTAAATTCTTAATTTTGAGGCCTGAAAAGTCCTGTGAAATAAAAACTAATTGCATTGCGACAACCCATTTGCTCATGCACATTGAGCAAGCTAATACAAAACACACACAAGTTAAATGAATGAGGAGGCATGTTGTGGACATAACACAACATCTAAATCAAGTCATCTTAGCATGTCTAAGTCAAATTTATGCAGATAAATATATTTCCCAACAAAAAAGTGTGGCTAGTGAAAATGGCTAGTGGCTAGTAATGTTGAAAATCTACTAGCCACAGTGGCTGGTGATCAAAAAAGTTAATGTCAAGCCCTGTATATATATATATATATATATATATATATATATATATATATATATATATATATATATATATATATATATATACACACACACACATTAAGATAGACTTTTAATAAGAGTATTATCTTAATCATATTAAAATCGGAGTATTGGTGTCTTATTTGAATGTACTCAGAAAGACTCTGGTGAAGTCGCGAGCTGTCAAAGACAGGGCATTACTCTGCCTTTCAGCATGAGCCCATCAAGTTAAGCGTGTTTCCTCATTAAACGCAACGAAAGCGTATGCTTCGCGTTGTTGTGTCAGAATCCTTGTGAAATACAGTAATACTTTAGGACGCTTAGTTTAAGCAAATTTGATGAACGTGATCATGCGTGGTGAATCTGAGGGGAGTCGCTCCAGTATGGAAGGCCGTTGGGGCCAAAACGTCTGCAGCGTGTTGTGCGTGTGTGTCTGTGTGTGTCTGTGTCAGGCGTGGAGTGAGCGACGTATCTGAGTGGGGGCGAGAGGGGTGTGCAATGTATTTAACGACCGGTTTGCAAGAAATTATCATTCATTTGCGGGCATTTGGGAGTCTCTGTGCACTTGCGGGATACTCCTAGTCTTAGCAATTGGATGAATGTAAAGGAGGATTAAGCAAAATTGTTTCTACTCTATAACTAATGTTCTCAACTCGCAGCAATAAAACTTTACAATGAGTGCAACAGTTTGTATTCTATAGTTTATTATAATAATTTTTCATTTTCCATGTCTGCAATTCCTGTATCTTGGCATTTTTTTGCAGTCCACTTAGAATCCAACATGAAAATCAATGTTTTCTTTATTGGCATTGATTGTTTAAAAATTTAAATGTCATTAACATGCCTGTGTTTTAATTTCTTTAATAAACATGGCTGTCAAGCCAGGATCTTGATGGTTTATTGTGGGTATGTTGTTTACATGAAGAAATTTGTGTTACACAAAAATTCAAAAATTAAACAAAAATTCTATTAAACAATTATATTTTGAATTTAAATATTTTTTGTCTTGCGTTTACATTAATTTTACATTTAAATAGCCAAAATTACAGGTTGCAGTATTTTAAATGCGATTAATCGCATATAATATATATATATATATATATATATATATATATATATATAGAGAGAGAGAGAGAGAGAGAGAGAGAGAGAGAGAGAGACAGAGAGAGGGAAAGAGTGCAACGATGCAGTTTATTTATAAGGATAGTGCCTATTTTAAATATTTATAACTCATATTCAGCGCGTTGTGGCCAGGTTGCCACACTGAGCAGAGCAAAGATGTTTGATGTTCCAAGTGGCGACAGAGAGCGCATAATAAGTCCTTAAGGCAGCAAAACAGTACTTTTTCAGCGTACGTTTCAATCTACAGCTGAACAAATCATTACAGAACAGGTAAGTGACATTCTAACTCGATCTCTCGCTTTTGGATTTTGTAGTTCTGTATTTATACCATAGTAATCTGGTAGTGTTTGCTTTGCTTTGGCTTTTTCAGGGTTAATTATTGTGATCTCCCCATTGCAACAGAGAAATACTCTGGGAAATCTCTGTAGACTGATGGCATTTTATGCCGTTCAGGCGTATTATCTTAAAATGTGTGCAAAATCACCTATTTGTCATCATTTTAGACATTATGCAAGAGAATTATTCAAATACTAGCTCTTAAGAGACGTTTGTGAAGTAGCAACGGTTTCTGCTGTTCTGACCATCAGCTGCAGATGTGTATGAATGGTGGAAAAAAGCAGTTCCTCATACAAAAGGGTTTTTGAGACTCTCTGTGTTTGATTTTCTTTTTATATACACGATTATGCTGTTGAACTGTTGTATAAACACAATATTACATGAGTAACAGTACAATATGGCTGTATATCGTCACTGTTAGGGGGGCACAATGGCACTCAGCCAGCAGCCTCGAGCCAACGCACGCCTCCCACCACTGCCGATATTCAACCATATCGAACTGCTACCCGTGTGATATTGAAAAAATGTACAGGATCATATACAGGAATAATATACAAGAAAAAATAAGCATGTTTTATATATATGTTCACACCTCTTTGGGAGGTCATAATGTACTATGCCAAACCATATTTAGTCAGAAGTTAATATTTGAAGTAAATAATGTAACTCACTCTTTCCAGTGTGCTGTTAACTGTCTCTTTAGTACATTTGTGGTCCTGATGGCAGTGTATCTTTGAGTTTTCTGACAAACAGACAAAGAAACAGATAAACACATATACTGCACATTTATGGAATAAGTCAAAATGTACAAAAACACATGGGAGAAAATGAATTTATATAAAATTCATCTAATTTATAACTTGAGTTACATCTTCAGAGCATTTTCTATTTACTGTTCTTACCTATGCAGTCTGTCCCATGGTTGGGCATGAACCAGGGCCCTGCTGGCGATGTATAACCTCTCAAACATGAGCAGATGAATGAGCCAATATTGTTGTGGCATTTTGAATTGGGTCCACATTTTCTGTCCTCCTCACACTCATTTATATCTGCAATTCAACAAATAGCCAAGTTCATCTTCACTATATAGAGTCTGTTGTGGAATCTTCTTGGCATTTATTCATTTTATGTGTACCGAGTAGCCATGCATACCGTTGCAGGAGGTCCCATCATTAGTTTGAAATTGCTCTGTTCCATTCGAAATGAATCCAGATAAACAGTTACAGTAGTAACCGCCAACATAGTTGGTGCAGTTGGCATGTAAGCCACAAATTTCAGGTACAGTCTCACATTCATTGTCATCTGTGAAGGGTCAGATAATCAGATAAGCATTAGTTGTATATGCATCTTATAATCAAAAACATTTGACTTGCGTGTGTCACTTTCAGTAAGAAAAGGACAAATAATATAGGAAACTGTACATTAACATAAATTATTTCCTGAAAATCTTGTGTAATTTAAATACTTCGCAATTTGAAGTATGAAACAATTGTTTCAATCATGAAAGTTACTGCTATACCATTACTCTGTACAGTATATATATATATATATATATATATATATATATATATATATATATATATATATATATATATATATATATATATATATAGCTATAACAAACTGTCTGTATAAACACACATACACACACACACATAGACACACAGCCCCACACTCATTCACGCACATACACAAACACAGACAGCACCAAACAAATAAACAAACACACACACAAACACACACACACTCAAACGTGCGCGCTTGCTCGGAAGCTCGGGAGCGATATTGTGAGACCGCCCACTCCTGTTAAAATTACACCAGAGTTACCGACCACTCCCGCGATTTATTCGGAAATTCATGAAATCTAGTCGGTTTCCGCGACAATGCACTGGTACAGCCGCGGGAATGCAGACCTATATCCAGAAGTATCGTTGTAACAGCCTAGAGGAAAATAGAGGGGAGGAAAAGTAATGCCAGCAGCCGAGAGGAAAAGTCACGCCAGCAGCCGAGGAAAAGTCACGCCAGCAGGTGAAATGGGGCTTCTGTTGTAAGTGTCAGGGAAAAACTGTCCAGAAAACACACAGTCACACACACAGTGAAATTGTGCACAGCTTCTGCGTTGGCTCCTGGAGTGTTGTAAATACCCGCATTCACCTCCCTCGCGACAGAGCACATATGAGATAAATGACGTCAATATATAATAACCGGTTATGATTATTACTGAACCGATACCGAATTGTACGCGTCTGCATTGCGGTGCACCACAGAAACGAATAATTTTGACACCCCTAATATATATATATATATATATATATATATATATATATATATATATATATATATATATATATATATATATATATATATAATATATATATATATTCACAGTTGAAGTCAGAATTATTAGCCCGCCTTTGATTTTTTTTTTCTTCTGGAGAAAGTCTTATTTGTTTTATTTTTTATAAACCGTTTAAAGGGCAAAATTATTAGCCCCTTTAAGCTATTTTTTTCGATAGTCTACAGAGCAAATCATGTTTAACACACTTTAATGTTTCAGATCATGTTTAACATAGCAAGAACTGTATTTCCTGTAATATTCTGTATTTTCTTACAATATTTTATATTTCTTTTATTTTGGCAAGAATAAACAGAGTTAAAAAAAAAAAAAACATTTTAAGGTCAATTTTATGAGCCCCCTTAAGCAATATATTTTTTCGATTGCCTACAGAACAGTGGCGTAGCGGACGAGCCCGCAGGGCACGCATCGCGGGGGGGCCCCGCGTGATTAGGGGGCCCCGTGTCGTCACGATTTTCAATAATTGAAAATCCGGTAACCGCAATAATCAAACCCTTGGGAACAACTGTGGTCGGAAAAAGTTCAAAGTTCACAGGTCTGTGTTTTCTGAACTCCTCCCAAGCGGTGGATTACTTCATGCTGATTGCTTGCCGCCGAACCGCATCATTATTACCATAAAGTTTACTTAATTTCAACTCTCCTCGACGTCCACACAGGAGAAGACGCGACATGCTGTTCCTTGCCACCAGTTCACATTGAAAATGATCGACTTCCGGCTACTTTGACGCTCTCGCCGCTTTCGGTTTGTGATCGCTCATCAGTTTGTGAAGGCTTCCCCGCGTTGTCGATCCCCCCCCCCCCCCCCCTGCAGGGGGCCCCCGCATTTTGCGCTACGCCACTGCTACAGAACAAACCATCATTATACAATGACTTGACTAATTAACCTAGTTAACCCTTTAAATGTCACATAACACAACATATAACATAAATAAGTTGTTGAAACCCCATGTTAAAACATAACTTAATTCTGGTTTATCACACCTTAGTTCAATTACTCTAGCCACGACCAGGCTTGATTAATAATCATCTGTTTACATTGCAATCAAGAAATCACTTAAATTTGACTTGCCTCACAAAGTAGACCAAAGATCTAGAAGATCTAGACATCATGCCGAGATCCAAAGAAATTTAAAAACAAATGAGAAAGAAATTAATTGAGACCTACCAGTCTGGAAAAAGTTATAAAGCCATTTCTAAAGCTTTTGAGACTGCAGTGAACAACAGTGAGAGCCATTATCTTCAAGTGACAAAAACATGAAACATTGGAGAAGCTTCTCAGAAGTGGTTGGCCGAACAAAATTACCCCAAGAGCGGAATGACACCTCATCAACAACAATGTCCACTGAACTGCAGGTCTCACTTGCCTCAGTTAATGTGAGTGTTCATGACTCCACCACAAGAAAGTGATCGGGCTAAAATTGTTTGCAAGGCAGAGTTACAAAGAAGAAACCACTGCTGAGAAAAAATATAAAGGCTCTTCTCAATGTTGCCAGAAAACATCTTGATGATCCCCAAGACTTTTGTAAATAACTCTGTGGACTCACAAGACAAAAGTGTAACTTTTCGGAAAGGGTGTGTCCTATTATGTGTGGCATCAAAGTAACATCGCATTTCATAATAAGGACATAACATCATACCAATAGTAAAATGTGGTGGTGGTTGTGTGATGGTCAGGGGCTGCTTTGCTGCTTCAGGACCTGGAAGACTGGCTGTGATAAATGGAACCAAGAATTACGCTGAGTACCAAAAAATCCTGTTTGAAAAATGTCTTGCCACCTGTTAGTGACCTCAAGCTAAAGAGAACTTGGGTTTTGCAAGCACAATAAAAAGTCCACTTCTGAATGGCTGAAGAAAAAACAAAATGAAGACTTTGGAGCTGTCTAGTCAAGTCCTGACCTGAATGCAATAGAGATGTTGTATTATGACTCTAAAAAGGTGGTTAATGCTTGGAAACCCTCAAATGTGGCTAAACTACAACAATTCTGCAAAGGTAAGTGGGTCAAAATTCCTCCATTGTAAGAGACACATTACAAGTTATTGAAAACACTTGATTGCAGTTGTTGCTACTAACCGTGGCCCAACCATTTCTTATGTTTAGGGGCAAACTGATTTTCCATACCTGACTGTGTAGTTTGTATTTAGTTTTTCCAGTAATTACAAAAACCTTCATTTCGAAACTGCACAGTGCATTTACTTGTGCTATAGTTGACAAATATTTATTTTGTTTGATGATCTGAGACATTAAAGATGAACAAACATGCAAAAAACATCTTTTTTAATTGTAAATCTTCCCTTTTTCAATATTTTTCTATATCATGCAAACAGCTTAAAGTTGACCAGCATTCATTTTCTGTATATTTCTTGTATTGTAAATATTTTTGCATTTTAAATTTGAAAACTTTAACATTTTGTTGCGTGATAATCATGATGTGTTGTGTGGTTGTTAAGCACTTAAAGGTTGCTTCAATATTTTTAACAACTAGATAAATATGATACAATTTGGGGCACTGACTAACATTAACATGTGTTCGAGCCTAACAGAGAAACAATGTAACCTTCAGAAAGACCACTGAAACACTCCTAGCTAAATATCAACGCTTCTATGAAACATCCCCACAACTCACACAAAAGTCTAAATGAATGAAAAATGTCAGTAATAAAATAAGTTCTACGATACTGAATCATTTAAGATAGTTGTGCATTTTGCTTTTAGATTAAGTCATGGTTTTGAAAATCAGTCAGCGGTTAAGTTTATTATATTTCATGTTTATGTAAGTATAACTAACCACTGTACTCATAGAGGGAATTTTCAGTTAGAAGTAGTGTTTTGTTGATTAAATGTAATAAAATATATGCCAAACCTCTACAATCGCTGATTCCATTACCAGTGTACCCTGTTCTGCATTTACAGATGTCATCGCAGTCGGCATTTGGGTGACAAGACTGGCAAATGTCAAGAAATCTGCATGGATCCAGCAAACTTGAAAACCAAGCTTTAAAATATAGCACATAATAGTAATACAATTAGTTTTGTAGATGGATTACAGCATTTAAGAAAATAGTTCATCCAAAATTGAAATTATACTTACTATTAAGTCAAGCTCATGGTTCCAAACATTTAAGCGTTTCTTTCTGTTGAAGATAATTTGAAGAAAGCTGAAAACCTGTAGGTTTACCATTGTCTTCCATAATAGGAAAAACTAATTACAGTGATCAAAGGTAACAGGTTTTCATCTTTCCTCAAAATATCTTATTTTATTGTGTTCAACAGAAGAAAAAAAAGTTTAAACCATTTTGGAACAAGGGTGAGAAAAAAATTACAGAATTTACAATTTTGAGTGAACTATACCTGTATATATTAAAATACATGGTAAATATACAAGGGGCTGGCTTTTTTCCTTGGTCTCCATAAAACATCCTACATAAAATGGTTGTTTTAACTAGAAAACTTTTGAAAAGACATTTCATAAAGGTACAACAAGCAACTAATATCAGTTAGTAATGATCTACAATTGTTTATAATGGTTTCACTGTTGAAAAAAGCTATTGAAGCTATTGAATAACCTATATATATATATATATATATATATATATATATATATATATATTGTTTTCACAAGCTCTTTTCAAGTCGATGCAGTCAACAGCAGGTCTGTTTTGACAGCTCACGCTATATAGTGTGGCAACATGCTTCACCACAGACCCCGAAAATAGAAAAAAATAAATAAATAAAAAATAAACCTATTTAATAAGTTAAACATACGAAAATCTGATCTCTGCCATGTGGATACAAAAAATGAAATATATATTTTTTCCCTATTTAAACTTTGTTTATTGCAATTTCTCCTGCTCTAAGTTTTTCCAACATAAATTAATTTAATACAATTGTAAAGCATATCTGCACAATAAACATAAACAAAGAATTCATTCAATGGATTATTACTCAGTTTATGTAAATTACAGAAGGTGTACCTACCAGCGAAAAGCAGGAGTTTCATTGGAGAACTGTGTAAAAACTCCATTTTAGAGGTGAAGCTGGAATGTCTTTAAGCAGCAAGCGAATATCTGTGTGACGCACGATACTTCCTTTATGTCAGCTTCCTGTTTCTCTAATCCTGACCCTTCCTGTCCGGCTCAATCAACTCACAAAAACTCATCTTCACACACAAAACGCTACTGCATGTATAAAATCAAACCACTTAAGCATTAGTGAAACACAATAGTGTAAATCATTTCCCTTGTGAAATATGATCCATGAGTTTGTGCAAATCCTGAAGATTCATGTCATGATTTTAAAATATTTTGCTTCAATGAAAGCTATAAAAAATTATATTCAACACATTTGCCTAATAATTATATACTCTAAAAATAATTTAGTTTTCTAATTTTAGTGTTGAACTTTCATAATTTACCGTATATATTCTTTCTGGCTGAAAAAGCTAGATTTGTTTACTACCACGGTCTTGATAATATACTGTATCAGATTCATATGATGTCATTGAACTGTTATTGTTTATATTACTGGGTTAAAAAAATAACTACTTGCAGCCACTATAGACGTTTCCATCAACAGAGTCTAGGTATCAAAGTTGGGTGGAGGTATTTTTAACCACAGACCTCTTTGTTCCAGACGTCTGCAAGAAATGTGTGTTTTGAAGATAAGAAACAGAACCACTGAGGACTGACTGGACCAGCTTCACACTTGGCAAAACTGAAGGGAAAAAAAAGAACTGAACAGAAACTCTGACCTTTGTTTTTCAGTACTGTTTGTGTTCGTGTCTTGGATGCCAGCAGTTTTCGAAACAAATAAAAGAAAAAAAAATCCACACAGAATGTCAAACCACATGGCTTATGTAAATAAATGAATTTATAGATTTTTTCTTGATATATGCTTCATATTAGAGCCATGTTTTAGTATCAAAATTGTATATTTCAGATCATCAAACTAATTTAGTCAAAGATAACACAACACCATGCAGTTCAACACGTTTAAACATTCAAACAATCCCAGATTTTGCTCATGGATATTTTTTTGAAAAGGCATTTCTCTACAATAAGTAAATGAAATGAATAGTAACATGAACAGTTTTCTCACAGGGTTCTAGGTTTGAGTGTAACTTTGATCCCAGTGTGACCCGTGACAGCAAGATGGAGGAGGGTGCGGCTTTTCCTTCTGCCTTCAAACAATAAGACTGGACCTTCTGACCGCCAGTCTTCCGCTCTGCACTGAGATGGTGTTTACTGTGAGCGTTGAATAAGTTGTCATACAGATGATGTTGACTGCCCCCTTGTGGGTAATAATACCGTGTGAGGAAGCTGATACAGGGCTAAAGACTTTAAAGCTGTTCCAGACCTTGGTCTGTAGTAAAGACAATAGGTCTACTATAACAATAGCTCTACATTTATACACACAAACACACATAAGTTTTGTTGGCTCTTCGTTTAAACTACTGAAAAAAGTGTTGCATGCAGAACTGTTGCAAACAATTTATTTGTGTTGAATTTAAACAAACAAATTAAATTGAATAATGTTCAACTTAATTTGTTTGTTTAAATTCAACAACCACTTACAACCACTTAACATAATTTTTTTTTTAGTAAATACAAGGGATCATCTTTGAATAATTTTTTTTTCAGTGTACTTATTTAAATTGAACTGAAATAACACAATTCTCCAGTTTTTTTTTTTTTTTTTTTGGGAAAACTTAATTGTTTTATGTTCAATCCACTTAAATTAATAAAAACTAAAAAGTTAACCTAATTTCTCTGAGTGGTCCCAACACAAATTAAAGCATTTTTTTTTACAATGAACTATATATATACACACAGTGCTCAGCATATATCAGTACACCCCTCACAAATCTCTTTTAAAATAATAATATATGCGTTAAAATGTTGTATTTGTGCATATACATTAGATTAGTTAGTACTGAAGCCAAATCCAAAACTTATCTAACCAAATAACTTACAATAACGGTCCAAAAATGTGTAGCTCAAATTTATATGTTGGAGAAAATATGGAATATGATTAAAAATTATAGCAAAAATTGAGAAAAAAAAGATTTAGCTGAAATTTGCAATATTTCACATGAATTTAAATGTTTAATATTTCTATTTCTAAAGATGAACAGTGACTAAAATATTGTTTTAATAAATACATTCGTTTAATATGTTCAAATGCACCAAAATACATTGCATATATTCACTGAGAAAAGGATAAAATATGAATATTCGAAATGGGGTGTACTCAATTATGCTGATATCAAAATAAATAAATAAATAAACAAACAAATAAATAAATAAATAGACAAACAAATAAATAAATAAATAAATAAATAAATAAATAAATAAATAAATAAATAATATTTTTCTATTCATTAAGGAATTCTGAAAACATCACTTTCTATAAAAAATTAAGCAGCATAAGAAATGTTTTTTCAATATTAGCATTTTCTAAATAATAAATAGATTTTGTAGACCTGAATGACTGCTAAAATTCAACCTTTTGTCATACCAGAAAACACATATATGTAGTTTTGAATTGTGTTTTCCCCTAATAATACAAGCGTTATAAAAATGCATCATGTGCATCATTTTACTTGTGTAAACTATTACTACTATTTAAATTAGTTTGATGATCAGAAATATTAAAGTGTGACACAAATGCAAAAAAAAAAAAGAAAAAAAAAAGAGAAATACATAAGGGGTAAATATTTTTTGTCATACCGCTGTGTCTATATACAGTTTCAAGAGTTTACACTTAGCTGATGATGGATTAAAAAGCATGTTTGGCATAAGATCCTCGAGCTTCTTCAAAACGAAGATGGCTGTGATATGGAACTCAGGGTATTTATAGTGACCTAGGAATCGTCTGTTTGGTAAATCATGAATTGGCTAATGAATGACCAGCTGTGTTCCATCATAAGCATGGGATCCTCTCAAAATTATTTTCTAAATAAACTTCACATATTATTTAAAATATGGAGACACCAAAGACACTTAAATATGCCATGCCTGTTTATTAGATTGCACAGAGTAGCATTATCACAGAACTTTAAAATGCACTTAGGCTATGTTCCAATCCGGTTAGGCACACTTGCTAACTTCTCTTCTACCTTTTCCTTCTACTCCTCGATTTTGATAGTTTTCCATCTTACTTTACTTCATACCTCAATTATAATAATTCTTAAATACTTTATCTTTATCCATGAACCATTGGATGTAATGAAGATGACAACTCCAATGATGACAACTTCACACTCAGTCAGTGTCATAAAACTACTGTTTACTAACTGTTTGTTGTGAATATCCACCCTTTAGTGTCAAAAAATACATATTTTGCCTTTGAATATTAAAATAAACCTCAAGAGACTGCAAAAAATGACGTTCACAGAGGTTCTTTTTTAAAGAATGGGTTCACAGAGACCTCACATTGCTGAAGAGACAAAAGGCTTTCACCACAACATTGGCAAATGCCAGGTGGCTCATGTCTCCCATTGCCTCTAAGGGCGTACTCACACTATGTACAGTTGCCTTGAACCGGGTAGAAGCATGCTTGTGCCTCCTCCCGTCTCCCCCGATGGCCCGCATCCACATTGCATTTGTGCTTGAGCATGCTCACGTCATCAATGATGCGCTGTCCAGTAAGAAGCACTCTTGCTCAACACAGTGGGGATTTCTTTAGTTGTATTGTTTTAGTCGTTTGGGATGCAGTGACACACAGTCAAATATTTCGCCGAATATATCAGACAGTTTTGACGCTCATAAACAACCATTAAGTCCTCATGCTGCAGGTATTAGGAGGTTTGCTAAAGATGCAGCTGCTGTGCAGTGAGGGTCTTTAATAAATCACGACAGTTTGCGTTCATTGAACAGTAAAAATTATTTATAAATCCATATGAAACAGTCCCTTAAAAGTCACGTCTCATCTTAATTTTTGGGCCCCAGCAATCAAACTAAAAAAATAAAAAAAGCTCCTGAGCCCAAGTGAACCGCGCTCTGGTACACCTCTTCCAACCAGGTCAAGGCTGACCAACTGAACCATGCCTGAACCCGATTCAGAGCACTCACACTTCTCAAACGATCTGGGAAACGGGCCTGGGCATGGTTCGGATAGCATAGTATGAGTGTACCCTAAAAGTCACGCACACGACATATAGGGCTCTATTTTGACGGTCCATGCGCAGAGCGCAAAACGCAGGGCGCAAACGCTTTCAGGGCGTGTCAGGACGCGTTTTTGCTAATTTAAGGATGGGAAATCTGCCTTGCGCCGCGGCACATGTTCTAAAAGGGTTGAGTTTATTTTCTTAATGAGTTATAGGTGTGTTTTGAGAATAAACCAATTAGAATCTCATCTCTCATTCCCTTTAAGAACCAGCTGCGTCGCGCCAAGAGCGCATTCGCTATTTACAGGACGCAAAGAATGTCTAAGTAGAAAAACTGAGCATTTCACAAGCAAACAGTTAACAGTCAACCGTTTTTTAACAGAAAACTGTTAAACAGAGCATCTACTGCGTGAGAATGAGAGATAATGGATCACTTTCACTTTCGCTCTTGGATAGGGAAACCTTTATGCACAGACATCAGTCTATAAATAAATACTTTTGTTCGTTAAGCGCAAAAATTAGTTTCAAAACTATTTCTAAATTCAGTTCTAATTTCCAGCAAACGAATAAATGAATAATAATAGCAAAATGTGCTTAAAAACCTGAGTTATATCCTAAAACACATGCTGTGCCCCTTATGGTCTAAAACCTGACAGGTGGGCAAATCTAAGCTTGTTTTTAATAAAACAAATATAAATATGGATATATTAAATAATACTGCTAATAATAATAACATTATACAAAAGCAAATTGTTATGAATAAATTGAAAAAGCCTCCCGAGATGAAAAAGACATAAAAGCAGTGGTTTTTCATATTCATGTAGGCTAGAAAATAATGTTTTGTAATATTTTAATCCTTTAAATTTATATCCTATATCTATTCTTATTATATCCTATATATATCCTTAATATTTACATTTTTTCATATGTAAATATATTTGCC